GTCATTGTTGTTTTGGCGGGTCCGGGCTGGGGATTCGAACCCACCACCTTAGGTGTATGTGGCTGGCACCTTAGCCGGTTGAGCTATAGGCACTGAACCATTTGGTTAGTTTTTAATGTTCATGGCAGCTTTCTTTCAGGCCACATAAATAAGGGCCTTCTAAGAAGCATATAACTTCCCACTAAAATATGCAGGTGCTTATATACGAGATCTGACAATTAAGTTTGCGAACTCATCTTAGAAAATGTGCTACATACCTCATTGCTGAATATCACTACACTTACCTTCAGAGTACTCCACTTGGGAAGCTATGCACTGATGTCAGCTCCACCCTTCAAGGCGATCTTGGAACTTTTTTTTTTTTTTTGGACACAGTTTTACTCTGTCACCCTGGGGAGAGTGCCTTGGCATCGTCATAGTTCACAGCAACCTTAAACACTTGGGTTTAAGCAATCCTCTTGCCTTCGCCTCCCAAGTAGCTGTGATTGCAGGCACCCACCACAATGTTTAGCTAATTTTCTATTTTTAGTAGAAAGGGTGTCTTGTTTTTTCTTAAGCTGGTCTTGAACTCCTGAGCTCAAGGAATCCACCCACCTCAGCCTCCCAGAGTGCTAGGATTACAGCTGTGAGCCACTGTGCCAGCTGTAGTTTTAGAACTCTTTTTCTAGAATAGCCATCAAAGTTGTTGTTATATTACTCCTGATGTTATGAATGTCATCAAAATGTCTTCCTTTCAGTCTTTCCTTTATCTTTGGGTAAAGAAAAAAGTCACTGGGGGCTAGATCAAGTGAGTAGGAAGGGTGTTTCAATGTAGTTATTTGGCTAAAAACTCTCTGACAGACGTGCCATGTAAGCTGGTCCATTGTCATGATGCAGTGAATTGTTGGCCAAGATTTTTAGTTAAGATTTTCCTGTTTCTCTATTAGTATTTACTTGGTTTGCTATGCTTCTTACAATCAACTGACAATTTTGATGCACAAATTTCAGCTGTGAGCCACTGTGATTCTGATTTCATAAATGTTTGCAGTGTTTTTTATCAATTCTGCTCTTTACTGGCTGCCCTAACCTCTATTCATTAATGATGTTTTCTCTCTCCTCAGAAAAACTGATTAAATTAGTTTGTACATTGACATTTTCTTCATGGCATTATCCCTATAAACTTGAATTAACATGTCCCTGATTTCTTTTCCATTCTTGCCAAATTTAACAAGAAGTTTACAAATGTTTGTTCATTGCTCTAATTCAAGTCTTTTTTCTTTTTCTTTTTTTTTTGAGACAGTCTTACTTTGTTGCCCTTGGTAGAGTGTCATGGTATCACAGCTCACAGCAACCTCAAACTCTTGGATTCAAGCAATCCTCTTGACTCAGCCTCCCAAGTAGCTGAAGCTACAGGTGCCCACCACAACACCCAGCTAGTTTTAGAGATGAGGTCTCACTCTGGCTTAGGCTGGTCTCGAACTCATGAGCACTGGCTTAGGCTGGTCTTGAACTTATGAGTTCAGGCAATCCAACTGCCCGGCCTCCCAGAGGGCTAGGATTATAAGCATTAAGCTACTGTACCCAGTGCAAGTCTTTTTTCTTTTCTTTTCCTAGAGATAGTCTTATTCTGTTGCCCTGGGTAGAATGCCATGGTATCAGCCTAGCTCACAGCAACCTCAGTCTCTTGGGCTCAAGTGATTCTCTTTTCTCCAGCCTCCCTAGTAGCTGAGACCACAGGTGTGTACCACTCACTATACCTAGCTAGTTCTTCTATTTTTAGTAGAGATGAGGTCTTCTTTTGCTCAGGCTGGTCTGGAACTCCTGAGCTCAAGTAATCCACCTACCTCAGCCTCCCAGAATTCTGGGATTACAGGCTTGACCCATTGCACCCAGCCTTCATTCAAGTTCTGACATTCCTACCCATGCACACAGAAACACACAACAGTAATGAATGCCATTTAGCAAGATATCACCACATATAAATATAAACACAACTCTGAGACACTGATATACTGAGGTTATGACACCTTACCAAATTGTTTGTGCAGTTCTGCAAACATAAGTGCATGGTAGCAGGTTCATGAACTTAACTGTCAAACCTTCTATATATACCATGTCCATAAAATTCATGTACAAATTAAAATAGTTTTATATTTATAAAATCCATCATGTTCTTCTGCTCAGAAGTATACTTATAGTGTTATAAACATTTATTAAAATGGAACCTTTAACATTTGAGCTTTTTGTATATATCTAAGCCCAATAAAATATATATTTCTACCATTGCTTCAATAAAATCTTATAGAAAGCCAGAATTATTCCAGACTTGGCACAGAATTCTTGGTTAGATCTCAAAACAAGTATGCATCCCTGTAGCACAAGTATTGATTAAAGGAGTAGTTACAAGTTTTTGAGTTTTCCTTTTGACCACCTTACTCATAGTAGAATTCTAATTTATTTTAGAATTCATCTCAAAATAAATTCTGAAGTTTGAAGTTTGGTTAATTTAGATGACAATTTAATGGTACCTCCTGACATTCCTCTCTGGGAATTCCTGAGCTTTCCACTGAAATGAGATATCTAAAGTTATTTTCTAAGAACTTGACAAGGTATTCGTTTTAAATCTTGTTCTTTTGGGTTTATATCGGTATTTTAAAACTTTATATAATAATATGATTATTTGATGTTATCCCTTCTGATATACATGTATATCTAGATGGAAGTATTAGAGTCAGGGATAACATTTTAAAATCATATTATTTACATATACATGACTCAGCCTTATACTGAAGTCTTCCTTAGAAGTCTTATGAAATAGAGGAAAGAGCACTTCATCTTGACAGTCAGAGCTGTGTTATTAGGCAGAACAGAACCTCTTTATGCCTCACATTCTTTTGTCTTCTAGGAGGATTAAACACAGTGCCTGATGCATGGCACTCTGTAAACATGATGATCCCCTGCCATTCCGTTAGTTTTGGATCTGAATATTAATAACAGTTCAGAAAATAGTAGTTATTAAAGTCTTGGGTATGAGAAGGTCTGAGAATTTTTTTTAACTCTTAATTTAATCTTATTTTAAAATTTGAAATCAGGCATTCATATCTTAGTTTAATCTCGACATTTATTTCCATGGTTTGGTGCTACTAATCAAGATAATTTGGTTAATTGTAACATGGTACACTGCTATTTATTTTCTCTTTCCAAGGAAAGAAGACTCTTTGTTGGGCATGTAGGTAGAGAACTTTTGCATGAATAGCTTGAATTGGTAGAGTAGCATGAATTGATAAATCTGTTTAAAAAGAATCAACAGGTTAGCCAGGCACCGTGGTTCATGCCTATAATTTTAGCACTCTGGGAGGCCAAGGCCGAGGATCTCCTGAGCTCATGAGTTTGAGACCAGCCTGAGCTAGAGGGATACCCCCTGCCTCTAAAAATAACAGGGTGTTGTGGCAGGTACCTGTAGTCCCAGCTACTCAGGAGGCTGAGGCAAGAGAATTGTTTGAGCTCAAGAGTCTGAGATTGCTGAGGTGAGTTCTTACACCACAGGGGTGACAAAGTGAGACTCTGTCTCGAAAAAAAAAAGAAATTGGCTTAGCGCCTATGGCTCAAGTGGCTAAGGCGCCAGCCACATACACCTAAGGTGGTAAATCCAGCCTGGGCCCGCCGAACAACAATGGCAGCTGCAACCAAAAAAAAAAAAAAAAATAGCCGGGCGGTGTGACGGGTACTTATGGTCCCAGCTACTTGGGAGGCTGAGGCAGGAGACTTGCTTGAGCCCAGGAGTTGGAGGTTGCTATAAGCTGAGATGCCACAGCACTCTACCCAGGGAGACAGCTTGAGGCTCTGTCTCAGAAGAAAAAGAAGAAAAAAGAAATCACCAGATTGTTTTCCAAAGTAGTCCCCCACCATTTTACATTCTTAACAGCATTGTATGAGGATTCTAGTTTCTTCACATCCTTGCCATCGTTTAATATTGTGTTTTTTGGCTGGCACGTGTAGCTGAAGCAGCTAAGGCGCCAGCCACATACACCTAAGGTGGCGGGTTCAAATCCAGCCCCCGCCTGCCAAACAACAATGACGGCTGCAACCAAAAAAAATAGTCGGATGTTGTGGCGGGTGCCTGTAGTCACAGCTTCTTGGGAGGCAGAGGCAGGAGACTCGCTTGAGCCCAGGAGTTCAAGGTTGCTGTGAGCTGTGATGACACAGAACTCTACCCAGGGCAACAGCTTGAGGCTCTGTCTCAAAAAAAAAAAAAAAATTATGTTTTTCATTATGACCATTCTAGTGTGTTTGAATTGGTGGTTTTAATTTGTTTTCCCTAATGACTAATGATGTTGAACATATTTCACCTAAAATGATAATAAATTATCATTCATATATCTTCTTTAGTGAAATGTATATAGTACAATATATTAATGTATATTAGTAAATATAATATTTATATTTAAATGACCATTTTTTAATTAAGTTGTCTGTCTTTTTTTTTTTTTTTTTTTTTAGACAGAGTCTCACCATACCACCCTCAGTAAAGTGCTGTGGCATTACAGACCACAGCAACCTCAAACTCTTAGACTTAAGTGATTCTCTTGCCTCAGCCTCCCAAGTAGCTGGGACTACTGCCTGTCACAATGCCCGGCTATTTTTGGTTGGAGTTGTTGTTGTTTAGCAAGCCTGGGCTGGGCTCAAACCTGCAGCCTCAGTGTATGTGGCTGGTGCCCTACTCACTGAGCTGTGGGCGCTGTGCTGTCTGTCTTATTATTGAGTTATAAGAGGTCTTCATATAGACCTCAAGAGTCTATATGACCTCCTTCATATAGACCTCAAGAGTCTTCAAACAGACTTAAGTCTGTTTTCAGATATATGATTTGCAA